AGGAAAAAAAAAAGTGTATTGAAGATGGAAACTGTAAGTTGATAGTCAGAAACATCAGCAACAAGAAATAACTTACGATGTGCTTTTTTACGATGGAAAAGTCGCTTTAACATCGTACAGTAAAGTCAGCTGTGAACAGCCAAAACTGATTTAAAGATATGTTCATTTTTAGTTCTCGATTGCATCAATAAATTTTCCGTCAAAACTGTCATTGGAAAAGTAAACATATCAAATAAATTAAAAATTTATTTAAGAGCAAAAAAAAGCTTAAAGCAGTGACAGTGGAGAAGAAATTTTTGAAGAAAATTTTTGCAAGAAAATGCTTTTCATTTACTGGTTCTTCATTCTTTTTTATTTCTTTTTTTGTAAATCAAAGTATTAAATATTATTGTCGTAATGGTGTTGACAAAAAAGCTGTTTTTTTTTTTTGCAAAGATTTATACTTGGGTTACAATATTAAGTTGAGACCTGTACATAATAAACGAAAAAAAAGTTGAGAACTGAAACAAATTTGGCAAAATTGTTGTTGTATTAAACAGTTTATAAAATTTGTTTAAAATTTGACCAGAAAAAGTAGTCGGTTAGTTTGGTGTTTCTGAGCTGTAAGCAAACAGGAAACCTTTAAACTGCAAAATTATCCGACATTTTTGCTTGTGTTAATTAAGACAATTTGGAAGTAGCGATAAGAAGCCAGTTTTGGTTGACAGATCTTTGTTTTCAATTCTAACTACCATCTTTATAAAAAGGTTTCTTTTTTTTTTTTTTTTTTTTGAAATATAAAAACTTGTTATAATGCTACAAAAACTGCTAATCATCGATTACAATAAACTTGAAATGGTAAAGTGGTGAGAACAAAGAAGGAAGCTATAAAAATACTGACTTTTCAATTGTAAGCTAAGCCACAATGACAGAAGATAAAAGGTTTCCAGATTAAAAGTCTAACTTTTTAACCGCATACTTTGAAGTTATTTAATAAAAAAAAAAAAAGAAACTTATGATATGTTCAGCTTTAGAAAACATCTGTTTTCATTACTGCCCTTTTTTTTGTACAACTTTTATAGTCTATCTTACAAAAATGTCAAGATGATTTATCGCAAAGGTAATAATCAGAAACCTAATGACATATCGTGTTTGATGACTGATGTTGGTCATCCTTTTCAGTTGTTGTTCTGATCAGCAAAAAAAAAAAAAAGACATGTAGTTTTCTTGAAAAGCAAAATAAATTAGTTTAGAAGATTATTTTTGATTTTAAAAATTTTGAATATAAATTAGTAAAAGTAAAGCAAAGCAGAGGAAAATTTATTTGCAGCAGCTATTAGATGAAAAATTAAACAAAGTTTTTAATCACTAAAACATTGTCTGAAAAAGTACATTATAGGTATTTTTACTACTTATCGCCTGAAATAAACAAAACTAAAAAAAAGAAAGAAAAAATTGTACTTGAGTTTTTTAATCCAACTGGCAATTAATTGACTTTATTAATCTATAAAACAACAGAATAAAACAAAAAAGAAAAAAGAGTTATTCGACTTTTTTTTTTTGATAATTAAAAATTCAAATATTTATGTGAATGAGTTTCTGTGATTAACAAAAAATGGGATTGAAGATGGCAATGGGGGGAGGAGGGTTAATGGTTACGGGGAAATTTGATGTATATATGGGGTCACAAAAAATTCAAGTCTGAAATTTAAAGTTTAAAAAAAACAAAGTTTTTGCTGTTTAATCGAAATCATATCAGTGGTGGTTAAATTTATGATCACTATAGATGATAATTTAAAAATCTGAAAAAAAAAAGCTGAATAATTAATAGTCATAAAGTTTCAATTATATAAGCCGTTACCGTTGATACTCTCTGTACACTATTAATAAAGCCAAAAAAAAAGAAGAAGCTAAAATTTCAAGCTTTAAAAACCTGTTCTATTTATGCCATAGTTTTTTGTATTAGTAAAAAAAAAAATTAAAAACTGCATCAATTTATTCTATTTAAAACAGAACTGTTGTACGGAACTGTTTAAAGACTGCTCTTTCTTAGGTGGTCTTTGAAAAGTATCAAAAAAAAAAATGGTACAGACCTAATGATTGTCTTCTTTTTTCTTCAAAAATCTTTTAGTTTACTGCAGTCAGTTATCAATGATCAGTTGTAAGCTGTTTCTTACAGTTTTTTTTTTTTTAAGATCAAAAAAAGATTTTTTTCTTTTGTTTCTTTTTTTTTGCTTTTTGTACAACCAAAAAAACATCTGCTTTATGTGAGTTTAATGTTGAAGAAGAACAAAAATGAAGGGAAAAAACCAACAGTATAGTTTGCTAATTTTTGTCTTTTCAAAGTTTACTAAATATTTGTAAATATATAAAAATTTGAAAATTTCTTTTCCTTTTTTCTTTCCTCTTTTTGATAAAATAATTCAGAAACATATTTGCAATAAGTTAAACAGTGAGTTTAGTTTAACAGACGTTTAATCAAGCAAAAAAATGAAAATTTTTTACTCCAAAATTTTGTACCCCTATTTCCACTGTCAACAACTTTTTTTTTTTCCTTTTTCGACTTCTAATTATTGCATAAAAAATTGTTCAGATCAATCGACGAGAAGTAGTTTGTAACTCTAAGAAGTAGTCTGTAATTCTGAGAAGTAGTCTGTAACTGGGCAGAACTTCAGATGGCATCATTAGGCACAGAAGCAGCTTACTGCAGTGATTGATACACTTTAAGATTTTACAGAATTAATCAAAAGAAAACCCTACTTAAAATGCTGCATTTATTTTTGATTATTATTTTTTTAAATCATTTTTTTTTTTTGCACAAATTTAAAAGTTTAATTATTAAATACCTGTTCTCTTTTTTTTTTTTTTTTAGTCTTGTATCTGCATACGTTTCTATGTATTTCATCTTTTCTTCTCTTTTTTTGTTCATTTAAACATCAAAAAACAAAAAATTTGTGCAAAATTTTTTCTGATGTTAAAGTGTTCAATTATAATTTACATCTGATATCTTTTCAGTT